CTTTTATTATAATTATAATAATTATTATAATCTCCTTATAGTAAATTATTTAAGTAAATAAGTCAGTTAATACTAACTATACACCTATATTGTTTTGTGAAAAATATTAAACCAAATATAAAAATTTAAATGGAATACGATTCGCATTACAGTTTTAAACCCTCCCTAGATTTAAAATCAAAATATAGATGAATTTATTAATCGAATAAATATTTTTGTTGAAATTATTAATAAACAAACAACAATGTTTATAAAATATTTGATTTTACTTATAAGTTTAAATATTGCATTTAATTTTAAGGTTATTACTTATTAGTTATTACTTCTTTACTTTTAACTTACCATGCCTAATTATTTATAAATATTGATAACTTAAAAAAGCGTTTTTATTTGTTGGCAGGCATCAACTAGGTACATGCAAAGAAACACATAAGTAAAATAGTATGGTTTAAATGGTTTAATGTTTGTAAAAATCAAATTCAGTAGGTATTACAAAACCTTACATAACAAATAACAAATATAATGTAATATTTTAATAATAATACATAAATACATAATATATTATATTAAGCATTATGATGGTTAAAATAATAAAAAATAATTTACCGGCTAGATACTACTTTAAAAAAAAACCGATTTAAGATTATTCTATCATCAAATTATATTTTTTATTAAAATATTTGGTGTTTATTCGTTGTATATTCGCATAATAAATAAAAAAAATATTATGATTGATTTTATTAACCCTGCAAGACGACTGACGAGTATGTATTTTATGATTATTTTTAAGAAAATATATTACATTTTTCCTTTCGTAATGCTTATAACAAGCACAGACTGCATTAGTCTCATTTAAACATATAAATAAACATGAAGAATAATTTATTATAATAAATACATTCACTATACCTATTCAGTTGGTATAGATTCCATAAAGTAATTTATCATTTCATTTACGACCAACCCATAAAAAGGATCCGGAGGATCATAAAATTAGTTAAGTTAATTATTAAAATGTTTGATATTGATCGAACTTTATCTGAAGGATTTTGATTAATACCATCAACTAATAACTAGGCGCGGTCAGTATAGGTGAATAAGACGTATATTAATTATACATTTATCAAACTTTCAATGTAGATACCTAGCAATTAGCATAGGCGTAACTAGGATTTAATAGTTACAGGGGCTAGAGTCCTAGAAAACCAATGTTCAAAATAACTTTGGGGGACCCCACACCCCCACCACAGTAACCGCAACGTCCGCAACTGTATTCTAGAAACAAAATTAAAAATAGACAATAAAATGAAAATATAAGCTCATCATTAAAAACAAAATGTAAATGATATAATAAGTACAATATATAGTATAGGGGGCTAAATACACATATAGAGGGGCTAATCCCTAACTTTGTACGCCGATGGTGCATATAGGTACATATTTCAACATATTATAATGTCTAATATTTTAGTATACAATATATACGTTATAGCATATAATGTCATCTATACTGACCTCGAAGTGAACGTGCATTTACCTAAAATATGACCAGTGGCGCCGAACTATATTTTAAAAGGGGGGGGGCAAGTAAAAGGTTCTACGGACCACCACCCCCGTTTAAAATATAAAAACGTGGGGGCTTTGCTCCTCCCCCCCATGCAAGTATTCGACACTCTAAAGTGCCTTTATGGAGACTAATACTTTTATATTATTCATGATGCCACTTTTCCAACCACAATCATACATAGTAAGCACTATTCATGGTTCAAACAACTTAAAATTAGAATTTTTTAAGAGCAATATTTAGTAGCATAAGTGCGTAATTAGCTCAAATATTTTGGGGAGGCTTATTTTTACTCTATTTTCATTTTTATTTTATTATTCCTAATGAAAGTGTTCACAACTAGTTTCACGTTTTACTTAACAAATATAAAGTCACATGTATTAATGCACCTATTATAATTTACCAAGTTTTTTTAAACAGGTATAACGTATTTTATAGGTAGGTATCAAACAATATTATTCACATACTCTAAATAGTTTTTAATCTGTAAAATATAATTATTATTTATTTATTTATTACTATTAAATAATTTTTAATCTGTAAAACATAATTATTATTTATTTATTTATTACTATTATCTTATTATTTTTTAGAAAATTTGATTATTAGTAGGTACAATAGTACCAAATACTAATGCATATAGTGCGTAGGTTATTAATAAGTTATTTTATATTAATTGTCAGCCAACTCACTAACTCAGCCAGGGTCCAGTTACTTATTCATATGATCCTATTGGCTATATATATTTAAATGAGTCGTATTTATAATGTTATAATATGTAATCAAGCACATACAAAAACAAACTAAATTTTACCACACAAATCTACC